CTGCCGAGAAATAATCCTTTTGCAAAATCTGATCTGTAGACCAAGTTTGTTTAAGTGATTCAAAAACATGTCGTCGGTAATATCGAGGTCTACCCCAGTAGCAACTACTGAGTAGGAGGGTGTGATGTGGTGGTTTGCTCGGATTGGTTGTGCTGTCGTTTGATAGTCGGTTTTTTGCAAGTTAAATGCTGTTATTAAGTTGTCTTGTTTTAGGCATTGAAGTGTCCTTGTGGCTTTGTTGTCATCGTTCGTTTTGATTAAAAAGTTGTTGTTGCCTTGTTTGATTATGATGTCTTTGTTATTTGGGTTGAGCTCTTCCCAACGGACTGCAAGTTGAACCCGCGTTGTTGTAGGTGTTGAATGCGCCACAAATGTGTGCGTAAAAGTTGGCAGGTGGTGATTTCGACCTCGCTTTTTCGAGGCCGGTTTAATGAAAGTGCCGTCCTGGGAGGCATAGTCCGATTCGGACTCCTGCGAACTCCCAGGATTCATCCTTATTTTGCTGTAACCCTGTAGTTTAAGTTAAATCGACGACGAAGTGTTGACGAATTCTCGAAATTATTTTACAGACTAACATTCACATTAACAGAAAAAATTGTTTTGCTTTCGGATCACTGTATACACGTCTTATCGGTACGAAGGTTTCGACGCGACCTGTTGTTTTATTTTTTCCACTAATTTCAAACTTACTAGATGCGACAATTCCTACTTTAATTATTTGAATTAGACAAACAACCCTTATCATTTTCAAGTGTTAAATCGGCTCCAGAAATTATTTTGAGAAGCGGTTTTTGCGCTTTGGTTCATTTTTTACTTTGCTTTCGAGTGTTTGTAAAATAATTTGATAATAGCATTTGAACTTTTTGTCAAAAATTAAAAGAATACATTTTTTCGATCAGCAGATTTTTCGAAAATTAGTAAGATTGTTATTATATCACATATTGTAGAGTTTTTATTGCTCTTTCAATTGATAGTAAAAACTTTGAAATCGGTCAAGCCGTTCTGGAGTTACAGGTTTCTTTGGCTTAAGCGCTGTGACTCTCCCCCCACGCTTTATTTGACAACTTAGGACAAAGGTTCAGTACTACGGTTTTTATGATCTTTTGACTAAACTTACTAGATGTAGATATTGACTAAACTTACTAGATAGGGACAATTTCTGTATAAAATCGATTTTTTAAAATACCGCAATTACGCCCTTTAGTGGTCATCTGAGAAATTTCAAAATAATTTCCCGCAAATTCTTTTCGTCAAGTTTGTTATCAATTTTTTTCCCGATCACTCCACAACACATACTTTCCAAGATACAGCCGCTTACCATCTTTATTGCGACACCCTGTATGTATAAAAATTCTTTAAGAAAATTTGCACTTACAAATTATTAGGGTATCTTTAACGAGTCACTGGGTGTTTTTAATTCGAATCAATAATAATTTCATACAAAAAGTATTTTTTATGTTATAAAGTATATAAGATAACAAAAAATACTCTGTCAAATGTAGAAAACGTTTGTTTTAAAACTACTTTATAAAATTTAAATGAAAGACACTGTGTACATTCTGATTATATTTTTTTTCTCATGGGACTGATGGACTTTGGGGAAAAGTTTCTTTTATTTCATTATATTAAATTTGCTTCCAGAGGTTTTTGCTTGCTTTTTCTTGCTACTGAAATAATTTTGTGCATTTTCAGTGGCTTTTGGCGATAAATCAATTTGCTTTTTAAGTTATTTTTTCGACAATTTCAGTGCTTTTGGCTCCGGATTCTACTAATGTGCATCTTTTTACCAGTTAAATAATATAAGCTGGAGACCCAAAATCAATGTTGTGCAGGTGCTCTTGATTCATAAACAAACAATTATCAGTCAATCTTCTAAAAAGGGACGAAAAGATCAGTCAATCTGGATTACCATAACAATGGAAGGCGAACGGTCGCTGAACTTTTGACCACAAAGAACAGGGGGCTGGTAATAAAAATGGTCCCCAACTGAGAAAGAAAATCCATAATCTGGAAGACGAAATTGCGAGATTTTCGTTTCAAAACTGCGTTTTTCTTATGGAAGTAGTTGCGTACAGTAAATAGGCCGGTTTTGAAAACAAAACAAACAAGTTTCCGTTTGCATAAAATTGCCCGCACTTAAGACTGACCCATGGTAGTACCAGCACCGAGTAAATGGTAAATCTTGCGGTCTAATATTGGTTCATTGACTCGAGATGTCGCGCAGTTTTCAATGGTGATCGTCTGTCCTCTTTTACGGAACATTTATAGGCTTGTTAATTGGAAAATTTCAACTTTATCGCTATACAAGGTGTTTTCTTCGCAATAGTGTTAAACTTCATAGATAGTAATAAGAAATAGGTAAATATTTCGTGTCACTGAAGAAAGTAGGCGAACACGTGAAAACCATTAGGTTGTAAAATACTCTGCGCTGGTTGGTGTTATGGTTATTATGGTATTTTTCCTATACAGTACTTGAAAATGTATTATTTTAAAAGCGGATCGGTCGAGACGTCGAGGTATTCGAGAAACTTGGTAAATGAAGAGTTTTAAGCGAAAGAGATTATTTTCCTGAATTCTCAACAGTTCGTGAAATATCGGGGGTTTGAATTAGAATAAGAAGCAGACCGTTTTTTTAAAAATGTTTGTCATGAAAATCCTCGTTTATAAAAACACCCTGTAGATTATATGAAATACCAGAGGTACTTTGGAAGAATTTGCAGTATACCAGGTATTAAAGGTGGCTACTGGCCATATGTTGTAAAGTGGGTACTGGGCTTGGAAATTTACGAATACATTATCCTAAACTAATGTGGCGATCGGAATATCCTGATTTGTAGTAAAATTCAGAATTCAGAAGGGTGTATTGAAAAGTAAATATTAAAAACCTAAATTTCTCCAAAAATTTCTAAATCAAGATAATCTTTAATAATATTTTAACATATGCTTTTATACATAACGCTGTAATTTCTGAACGACTTATCCCATCTTAATAATTTTATGCTTATTTTGAAGAGAAATGTTAGTACTTTTTACGTCTAAATAACCTCTAAATAAAGTCATATACAGTACGTCTAGTTATTTCTAAACCACATTGTCAGATGGCGCAATTTGTAACAATAACAGGTTTTTTGTTGTTGATAAGTTCTATATCTAAATTGTTGATAAGTTCTATATTGATGAGGCCGTTTCATTTTTTTCATATAAAAAAAATTGTTGCTTCCCTTTTTTTTACTTATTTCCAGTATTTTAACTGAAATTAATTGTTACAAAATTTGATCTACTTCTCAGGTTTTCCTCTGATCGAAGAATTGTAATTGTAAGAAACAAAAAAAGAATTTGTAATTGTAACTTAAACTACTTAAAATTAAATTATATATAATTAGCAACTTTCACTCATTTTATTAAATCTTAAGGTTCGATGGAAGTAGAAACACTCCTTCTTCTAATCCAACTCCATCATTCTTCATTATTACCGATTTCTCCATACCATAATTTCCAAGACATCAATTAAGAAACATTGGGTTGAAGTAGACTATAGTTCAGTCAATTTTTCGAGTCTTCAAAATAACATTTTTCCTTCTAATATAATTAAACTAAACTCAATGATGATAAAATATGAAAAATTACTGGTGTTTTAAATAGTTAAAAAACAGATACAAGTTAATCAGCAATGCTCAAAAAATTGGTTTGGATGATCAGGAAAACATTTATGCTTTTTAAAAGTTCCAACATGTGTGTTTAGGCAAAACCCTTTACGACACGCTGCGCCAATTAAAATACCCGCTTGTAACTCCACTTAAACAACATTTTTAAAATGCAAATAAAGAAATATTAGAAATAATTATATATACGTTTTTTGTCAATGTCTAATTCACTTAATTTCCGCGGTTTAAAAATTATATTAATTAATTAGCACTTTATTCAACTAACATATTTTTATTTATTATAAAATTTTATTAATTATATGTATATTAACAGCGCTTAAGTGATGTGTAAAATACTATTTTTCTTTGCAGTTGTCCGATGATGTTATAAGGAAAAAGACGGAATACCAAAAGTACTTGGAACTCTACAAGTTGATGAGGTGTAAATTTGAAGAAATATATATTAAAGGTAAGTTTTATATCGGAGAAACTAATTTCAAAGATTACTAGGTAGATCTAAATGCTGCTAGCCCATTTTTTCAAAGTGTCTTACATTTGCCTGTAAATTTTTCTATTGCCTAAAAGCCTTCTAAATGTGTTTATAGATTTTCCATTCAGTTACTCAAAAACGGCGCTTTTGTCGCAAAAGTCTGAAGGGAATAAAAGTTTCTAAATTTAAAACTCTTCTTTATTCAAAAATTTGAATTAAGAAATTTATCCGGAGAACTGCTACTCAACGCTTGCTAGAGAGAGTTAAATACACACCAATATTTTCCATTGATTTATGCCAAAACCGTGACTTTTTTCGCAAAAATTCAAGAAGCACAAAACATTTGATATGAAAAACACTCTAATTCGCAAATTTCAAATAACAAATTTGTGCTAATTAGAGAGCTACTACAATTATCTTGTTAGAAGTGGGGAATTTTTTCGTACCACGTACACGACCACGTTTTACATTGGGTTACTTAAAGGCCGCCACTGTTCGTTCCAAATCCAAAGAATACGTAAACTTTACAAACAGAAAACTCTTTCTGACACCGAATTTGTCCGTTTCTTATTCGGGGTAAATAGAGAACTCGTACAACAAGCCTTCTAAAATAAGCGACATTGGACTATGCAAGTACACGAGAATGTTTTTCCCAAAAATCCCAAGAATACAGAAAGATTCTAAATTAAAAATTAGTGTAAAAAGGAGATCTTTTAGTCTCAAATTAATTCCAATTAGAGAACTACTAACACGAGGTTGATAGAGCGGTCCAGGTTTGTGTAAGCAAGTACAAGTACATGCCAATGTTTTCCAATGAGTGACGCAAAAACTGTGAGTTTATCGCAAAAGTTCACAGAACACAAAAAGTTTTCGAATGGAAAAGTTATCCAAAAAAATGTAAATAACAAATTCGCTCTAATTAGAGAACTACCACAGTAATCTTGGTAGAAGTTGGAACATTTTTCCTACCACGTACACGACAACGTTTTTCAATAGTTTATTTAAAACCCGCATCTTTTTCTTCAACATCCATGAAATGCGTAAAGTTCCCAAATAGAAAAACTCTTTCTCACATTGAGTTTTTCGGTCTCTATGTCAGGTTAATTAGAGAAGACCACGAACATATTTTCCATAGATTTGCTAAAAAAACCGTGAGTTTCGTAAAAATTCAAAGTTCAGAAAGTTTTAAAATCGAAACTAGTCTCGACAGGAGATCTTCCAATCTCCAATTATTTCTAATTAGAGAACTGCCACAACAAGGTTGATAGTTTAAAAATATATTTCAAAAAACACTCTCTTGCTATGGGAAAAGTTTGCAAAAAAAACTTGTTTCTATACGAAAATTTTTATTTCGCGATATTTAGAGAATTACTGCAACAATCTGGTTATACAGATGACAACAAATTTATATAATAGTACATAAATTAAAAATTGTTTATATTTTGAATAGATTGTCGATTAGGAATTGTCACTTTTATCTAAAAATGACGATAAAAAGTGTATATTATTTACAGTTGTGGATTAAAACAATTATCTAATGGGATGCAAATTGATAATATCTTGACGCGAGTTTCCCACGAGGTGCTTGCCATTTATACTACAATTAAACGTCTATGCATAATACTGAGACTCCTCTTACATGCATTAGAAATGCATAATTAAATACTTAAATACCGCAAAGTGTTAATTATCAGGGACATTAATAAAACAATCGCTCTGAGGATTTAGTAACTTCAACGATGGTTCTTTTAGTTACATTCTACTTGTTATATTCCGCGTTGGTGATTAATGGGAACAATAATTAGTATCTTAAGTCGATGTTTATTATTGAACTGAATGAACCGGTGTCTTATAATTTTCTCATGGAACACACGAGGAATTGATGGGTGGATGGGGTGATAAAATAAAAAAAACAGATACTCTATTATTGCGAGGGTTAAAACCACTTTTCAGTGTTTTCATCTCCGATTAACTACACCAGGAGGAGAAACGGGATCTTAAAAAGGCTTACATAGAAAAAACACTCTTAGATTCGGAACTATTACTTTCCAGCAAATACTCATGCAGACTATAATCCAAGGAAAATTTTACTATGATGACGTTGATTGAGGAAATTGAGATCTATTGAGTAAATGCTTGTACCCACTTGACGCCATTGAAGTTCAAATTTAAAATAGACTTGGCAATCACATTGGTTTGAGATCAAGGAGAAAATCAAAGCACATTTTCATCCGCTCCACGCAACACCGATTGTTTTTCTCCCTATTCAAGTAATGAAAAAATACTTTAAAAATAAGTAGACACTGTGTTATTAAGAACCAGGTTGCATTTATGTTGTCCGACGTGTTTGCGCAAGTAACATTTGTTGTGCCGCTTTAACAATGCAAAGTGCTTCCTATTTCAGTTGCAATTCGCGGTAAAAATTCATAAGTATGTGAATAACAATTGTGGATATACATTTATACAGTGATGAAAACATTGTTTCACAGGTGGTAGAGGGGGTCGAAAGCTCGATGAAGTGCGGGACAAATACCAAAAAGCTTGCAGAAAACTCCACCTAACTCATAACGAGTACGTTCTGCTTTTGTGTGAAGCTGTGGAATTTGAAAAAGACTTCAGGACAGTATTGCTACCGGGACTATTGGAACATCAGCAATCACTGCAGGAGGCTTTTATTTTAACCTGGTAAGTCAAAGACTTTCATTGCTGAAGATGGTCGTGCTGTGCCCATTTACCGTTTGTTGAACCTGATCAATTACATCCATTTTTGGGATAGTTTCAATGTTAATTGATTTGCGTATGATTAAGGAACCTCTTGCTATTCAAGGATTTCATTTTTTTTATTCACTGATGTTTTAAAGCAATTTTTGTATTCTTATCATTACTAAACTGGTGGAGATATTGAAATTTAATGTTGTTGCAGGAAGCAAATTCTTAGTGAAATTGCAAGTAACTCGGACTTAACTTCGGAAAAATTCCGCGAGTGCCATAGAAGAATCTGCTTGAATATAGATTCAATAAAACCAGTTGACGAGTATAAGGATTTTACTGAGAAGTACAAGTAAGTACACGCTTCACAAGCTACACAATTTAAAAGACACTGTTCAATGGCCTATATGAGTAGCTATAAAAGCTACTCGTTAGAAAATGTGAGTTGAAAAAACTGCATTTTGTACCATCATTAAAGTTTACATTTTCATATGTGAACTGACTTTGCTTTCCCAACCACCAAGAGATTATTTGGTAACTAATTGTTACTTACTACTACGGGCGACTTTAATTCAAAATTACTTTCTTTCCTCATATGGAAAAATTGGTGGTGTTTCGAATACAATTAAATCCTCCATTAATAATAGGAAGTAAGAAGTGTATTTAACAGTTTCAGAAAAGTTTCTTAGAAGCAAATGTTGAATATTTCTCATTAGATATGATGCTTTATAGATGCCCGTACTTTATTTTTGGAATGTAAATTTTCTTATTCCAAATAGTCACTAGTTCCGAATAAAATTAAATACGCAATAAATAATAAGAAGTGAATACGAAGTAAGAAGTATTTTTATCATTTTTCAAAGGTTTCCAATTCTAACAAAACGTTCAATCTACTAGCAAAATATTTTTGTTGCTTTTCCGAACGTTATCTTTGTTAATGATAGTTTTCCACGGTATTCAACATTGTTTTTTTCTTCTACTTTATTTCTAGTATTTAAACACTTTTAAAATTAGCTCCTAACCAATTAGTCCTCTTTAATGCCTGAAATTATTTAACAAAATCAACATATATGGGGTGATAAAAAATTTAGAAAACTAAGAAAAACTGTATCTTTCTCAAAAGCAAATCGACTAATTTGTGCAAACTTGCTTTTTAAGGACAACTCCGACTGAACCGGTAAAGTTTACTTTTGACGAAAGTTTGGTGGAAGAATCTGCAGGCAAACTACTGCCCAATCAATTAACGGTCGATAATTTGACCGTCGAATGGCTCAGGAACAAACTGACTGAACTGGAAACTAGCATTAAAGAAAATCAGGAGAAACGAACGTCTTTAACCAATGGTCATAATAGTGATACTTTAGCCAACGGGAAAACTACACCCATCAACGAAATTAACAATAGGTAAGAGAATGTTGCGAATAATTTATGTAATTTTTGCAAAAATTTTGTTATTAGGTACAATACTAGTTATTACAATACCAGTTATTTTTTTTGCTTTCGTATAAAACAATTGTTTTGTATAAAAAATAATTATCATAGTACAACAACTAAGATCAGTGGTGTGTTAATAATACAGGACCGCAATACAAATAGAGTAAAATAATAAGTATAAGCTCCATAAATAAAATTATTGGAAGTAACTTTACGATAAAACGAAACGATAAAAGCACTTTGTATTTGGAAAACCATAAAAATTTCGTTTTTTGCGACTTAAGAATATTCAGCAAAATAATAGCTCACTCATAATTTATATCCAGACGGTATTTACTATTTTATTTTTCAATCTTGGTACTTTGCATGTTCCAGGTTATCTCTCAATTTAGAGACATCACGCAAAGACATAAACGAACTAAAATGTCAGGAAAGAAAAATGTTGAAGCAGACCGAGCTAATCAGAACAGCTCTAAACGAGTTGGGATGCGAAGAAGCGCCTTCAGGATGTGATATTTCCATAGACAATCAGCCCGCATTCATAGATAACTCACCAGAAGAAGTAAGCAACAGTAAATACGAGAAATCGTGGTATAATAAATTTTCAATTTTTCCTGTTAAATATTTTGCATCAGTTTCTATTATATTTCTTCCATATACAGACAAATAGATACTATTATACTGGTTGCTTCAAATTAAGCATATTTTTATGAATAAAACGTATTAATAATTAAGCTCGGACGTAAAACATCCAATTTTCATATTAAAATTGCAATTTTAAATTACGAATTTCTTCTTATAATATGTCAAAAGTACCACATAGATCTTCAGAATTTATATATTTTTTGTTTTCAATTGTTCTATATTTTCTTTTTCGTTCGAAAATTAAAACATCGAAGTGAAATGCTCTAATTTAGCATAAGTGAACCAACCAAAGCCAAGTTTATTTCTTCTTCATAATATTTTATATTTTTACCCGATCGTTTCTGCTCTTCTTTCCTAGTGCCCGATGTTTAGAAGCAAACTACTCTCTTGTATAGTTTCAAGTGTTCGAAAAACTGTTACCAGATTGTCCGAAAATCATGATGAAAGTTTAGTTTATACTTGAGCCACGAAACAATGGGAAAAAATCATCAATGCTTTTTCTCTTATTTTATTATCTAGGATATGTTCACATTTACTTTATTTCTATCTTCCGATTTCCATATCTGGTCAGTCACTAACTGCTACTAAGTTGAAAAGTTATTCTGAAAAACCTCGACCAAGAGCACGATGGACACTTTTTTCTCCAGCGCTTTAGTCTCGATTTGGATGAAAACGAAGTTCAGAAGTTACGCTTGGTTTAGGAATTTGATTAAACGGCCCTATCTGAGCAATAGATGCCAAACATACCAAGAATTTTTGACCTAACTTGTACGCATTCAATGTTAAAGATAAAGCCCGGTTGCACAATGGAAGCTTAAGCTCGAGCTCAGGTTCAACTGAACTCAAGCTGAACTTGAACTCATACTCAACTTAGCAGTAGACGGGTGATCTTGCGCTTTCCAAAAATAATTCTGTACCTACACAGTAAGCGACGGAATGAGAGCTAACCAATTTTGTAGATAAAGCAACACAATCTTCTCGTTAAATGCATTTTGTAGCTAATGACTAGAACTATTTTGTTGTTGTTTAGTTGCCATCGTATTATCTTATAAGTGTCGCATAGTGCCTCTTGTAAGCTTTCCTAAATGTATTATTACACAACTTATAGGGTAATGGGTCTCAGAGCACGTTAAACAGACACTTTGATCCGCATCGCTTAGTTGGTATGTTACCCAGGGCTCTTCGAAAGCCGTTCAGGCGACGAAGCGCCCCTTCATCCCCAATAGCCCCGCCTCGAACTAAGGGGCGCAGAGAATCTGCCCCCAGAAGCGAAGGAGGGGATCCTGTAGGTTTTGGGATTGTTGATATTGTTGTTGTATTGAGCATGTGCATGTTGTTTGTGCTGTGCTTTATTTGAGAGAAATTTATGCAGAAATTTCATATTTGGTTGTGCCCGATGTGTTTGAAAATTTGAATTTTAAAACGTAACGTTTCATGTGAACGCTTTTGGTGTTTAAGAGGGACGAATTTAATATTAATTTCCATGTTCTTAACGTAAAAAGTTGAATTTTTCAAATGGAATATTCGACGATCTGGAAGTCTAAAAATGAAGGCGAAAAATAACAAGATACATTTATAGCTTTGTAACAATTTTACAAAACTTTTTTCAGCGTCGAATTCGCGAGAAACACGAAAATAAATTCCTCCCTGTTCTCCAAAACCGATCACCAAACTAAAAGTTATTAATCGAAAACGCAAAAAACCATTATTTTCTAATGATTTTCTTCTTTTCTGACAATAAGGGGATCTTTTCAGCCAAAAATCACAAAATTAATTTTGCTGGAAAATTCGCCTCATTTATCTGTTTGCAAGGAAAACGACCATAGCATAATTTTACAAAAAAATTATTTTCAAAATTTGCCGCCCTCATTGCTCTGAAAATTTTTAAAGTTTCTTTAACTTTCCCGTCATTCCATTTTTAACAAAGTTTCTATTAAACAATTGTTTCTACTCAAAAATCGTATTATTTTTTAGTTTTACTTAAAATACTGATAATTTTCAGGTATTTTCTGTGAAAATACTTTTTACAGCTTCGAAGGGATATGGAGAAAACCCTAATAATTATTTCTGGATCTTTTTCAAAAAAGATTTCCCCGAACTGAAAAAGCGAAAGTTGGTATAATTATTTATTTGGAAAACTCTTGGAAACTGGGGTTTCTTCACTTTTAGGTCAATAATTCTAAACAACAGTATCTCTAAACAGAAAAACCGCGTTTTTTCTAACGTTTTACTGTGAAATACTGACAAACTGAATCTTTTATGCAAAAAAATTAAGAGATCGATTTTACAAGAAAACTCGTCGACATTCTTTGAACTCAGTTCTGTTGCCGAGAAAATCTAGATGACCATTTTTTTAGTTGTTTGAACAAGGTAGTAAAACGTTACTCAGAAAAAATTTTGATGACCTTTTTTTAGATGTGAAAATTCCAGTTTCGGGTCTCGTAAACCTTTAATAAATGACTTATAACTCATTAACCGATTAGTTGTAACTCGGTAACTCAGAGAGCGGCAACAACTCAATAGCGCAACTCAACACAATGTTATCCAGGCCTCGTGGCAATCTCGTCAATTGTCTTTGTCTTTTTTAAGATGGTTCTGATGTTTTGTGTGCCCTTTTAACATTCTTCCGGTTTTGTCCGTCACTTGCTGCATGCAAGGAAGATAGGACACAATGGTTTCAATGTGTGATGCATCAGGCGAGATTTTAAGGCCTGAGAACTCTTTTTATCTCCTGATTAAACCGAAACGTTTTTTCTGCCAGGCCTTAAAGTTGACGATTAATCCGAAAACGGTATAAAATGAGGGTATTTTATTTGAAACAAATAAATTATTGATTGGGCTGGTGCAGTCTTTTATCATTTGAAGTGCGCCAATGCCCAATTAGCAGCTCTCGACATTTTCACATTTTCGGGAATATGCAATTCAAAAACGGTTTTTTTTCTATTAAAGAACACATTACCACTTTTTAGTTTCTTTTTTCCGTCTAGTCTTTAATTGAAAATAATTTTTAAATACGTACCTCTGAAACAGCAAAATCTTTAGATATTATGATGATATATGGTTGACGCGGATTCATGTTTTCAAAACATTTTTGTCCGGTATCTCAAGAATTTTGGTCTTAAATTTTCTTTTAATTTGTTAAAATTGTTTAAATTTGCCGCTTAATTAAGTCGCGTCTGCTAACCGAACCAAATTTATTGGCAATAATATAAATGTTATTTATATAAAATAATATAAAGATCTTTTTCAACAAAAAGGTTTCTAAAACCAAAAAAAATGTTTTCTAAAATTCTTACTTACTCAGAGTAAGATTTATTCACTCACGGAGTGAATCGGTATTTGACTATAATAGTCAGTCAAATAGCGATCGGTCTTTTTATTATCCGGATATAAAAAATTAAAGGAACAAAACTCTCGTTAATTTTAAGACCCTGACGATGTAAATGTAGAGATGTAGATTTGATATATCAAATGCCTACAATAGAAAAAATAATTTAAGTAATTTTTACAATATTCCTTTCAGGGTATATGAAGAAGTTTTTTCAGTTCATTGGAGTGTCTTTTTTTCTTTTCATTGTTCATGAGCTTTGTTTTAAATGCCATTGAACAAATTGCATGAAGATTACTAGCAAGGATTTTTCTGGTTAAAGACCATAATGCTGAAAAATGGCACGCAGTAAAATTTTGGCAGTCTGTATGCTTGAGCAACTTGAATATTAAACACGCATAATTCTGACTAATTTTTCATAGCATTAACTTCAATTTTTGCACATTCTAGGTTTCAATTACCGGAAATAAATGTCTAGTGGACGAAGAATGGTTCCACGGAGTGCTACCTCGAGAAGAAGTCGTTCGACTACTTACAGTTGATGGGGACTTTCTAGTTAGAGAAACAACTCTAAACGACGAGTGCCAAACGGTGCTGTCGGTCTGTTGGGGCAGTCATAAGCATTTCATAGTTCAAACAACACCTGAGGTACGAATTAGTAAGAACACGATGTATGTTTTATGGCTATTATATTCTCTAGGGACAATTTAGATTCGAAGGTCCAGCATTTCCGACAATCCGAGATTTGATAATTTATCAGTTCAACAGCGGTCTACCTGTTACTCAGCGATCAGGAGCAATATTACATAAGCCCATCCCTCGAGAACGATGGGAATTAAACAACGATGACGTTATATTATTAGACAAAATCGGACGGGTAATAAAACCCTTTCATTATTGAGTATTTAATTTCCAACTAAACTATTTTTGTAAATTGCAGGGCAATTTTGGTGACGTGTACAGGGCGCAACTGAAAAACAGCAATGAAGTGGTGGCTGTGAAAACGTGCAGAGTGACGTTGCCAGAAGAGCACAAGAAGAAATTTTTGCAAGAAGGCCGAATTTTGAAACAGTACGATCACCCGAATATCGTGAAACTGATAGGAATATGCGTGCAGAAGCAGCCTATTATGATAGTCATGGAACTGGTGCCAGGCAAGTTTGGTATGAAGTTTGTTGAGAGAGATGGCTTATTTTTATACATTTAGGTGGATCTTTGCTAACTTTTCTGCGGAAAAAATCAAACTCTCTAAGCGAGGGACAGTTGATGAAAATGTGCCTTGATGCAGCAGCTGGTATGAGGTACCTCGAGTCCAAAAACTGCATCCATAGAGACTTGGCAGCCCGAAATTGCTTAGTGGGTAAGTAATTATGCTATTTGGAACTCTTGTACATTACCATATGTAGTGGCAGTTTATCGTAAAATTTTTAATAAGTTTTGCAATTTTTGCAATAAAAGATTCAAGTACCTATTTATTATAGTTTACGTCCATCCTACGTTTTTCCTATAAGTAAATTTCGAAATAATTTCGCCAATAAAATTGATTCGCCTAATTGAATTTTTCATATGAAACTTTAAAGAACTATCAAATTTTTATTTAATTTCTTCAATAGAAAATAGAATAATCCGCAAAAAGAAAAATTTTAAATTAAAGCCAACAAAATTTACTGTAGGCCACATTTTATTTGAAATTTATATAGACGTTAATATACTTGCTGTTTAAAAAAATCAATTTACCTGTAATTTTGTCTTTTAATAACAGAACGTGTTCTTTAGAAGATACTGAAAAACGCTTGTTTGTAGAGTTTTTAGAAGGTAATGTTAAAATCTTGCCTGGACAATATTTTTCGTTCGATTGTTCCTCCTGACAAAAATAAACTGATCACCAATGGGTTGTAAATAAATGTTCCACGAAAATTTATAAATTTTAATTTTGGTACACTGTAATAAGCTTTTGAATTATTTCACCCAATTTTACAAAAACAAAACGCCTTTTTCGAGTTGGTGCCACTTTGGTTCCGGTAACTCAGACAACATTTTCTCTTTCCTCTGTTGTATAATTTAAGCCTGACCGCATTATTTTGGACATTTCGTATGATAATAATATAAAATTAAATGTTGAAGTAGTAAGAAATTTTAGGAACACTTAGATATAGGAATCTCAACACAAACGTACCTTTTTTTATTATGCCGTTAACCATCCAAAAAAAAAATAGTTTAAAGCTGCTGGCGCACCCAAAATTGTGATTTGAAAATTGAAAAGCGAACTATTTTATTGAATAATTCTTGAAATATTTATCGATTTAATTCTCGTAAAAAACCCTATTTGAAATGTACAGTTATTCCAACATGAAAAGAAGCTTTCAATACTACATTTCATAGAGAAACATGGTTTTCGCATTTTTGTTGTGTTTTATGGTGAATAATACATTTTGTGGTGTTTTGTATGGAACTCGTTGATTATTTGTATCAGAGGGATTAAATTGGTAAAATAACTTCAACCGATTTGAAATGATTACGAAAGACTTTGCGTTATTGTATATTTTTTTAACTGTGATTTCAATTTCAGGGTATAGCAATAGTGTGAAAATATCAGACTTTGGCATGTCCAGGGAAGAGGAAGAATATATTGTTTCAGATGGCATGAAACAAATTCCTATCAAATGGACGGCACCAGAAGCATTAAACTTCGGTAAGTAAATATATTTTACCTTTTTATAATTTTAGCCATTAATTGGACATAAATTACTGTTTCAATTGGAGTTTCATACCTCATAATGAATTACGATGTTTCTTTACAATTTACTAAGGTACAATTTTCGCCGTTATTTGTATAAACGATTTTCCCGAAATTAAGGAAATTCATCATCGCATTCATTCATCATCATCATAAAACGCATTAATAAAATGCGATTAAGTCGTTGATCCACATAACGTGAGATTCAAAATAAGTTAAATCTAAAACATTTTTTCGTGATTTAGAACATAAATAGAACATTTGAAACTACAATATTCTAAATTTCTTATCACGATTCTGCTCGAAAGTATTTTTGTGAAATATGCATTTTAAATATCAATTAAGCAATTGGGATAAATCTGACTTGGTTTATAAAGACGAGAGATATAAGAAAAGAGAAGAGTGATAAGAATTATGCCAATATCTGGAACTGGATAAACTAAATCCTTCTGGAAATATGATTGTCGCATTAGTTTTTGCAGTTGTTCGGCATCCAGTTTGAATAATTTGTTGTTTTAAGGTGACTTCTTCAGTTTTCAATAATTCATTTTTGAAATTTGAGTTGGAAACTTTAGTTTTCTTCAATACCAACTTATTTGTTTCGCTCTGTTTTTCTTGTATTACCAATATTAGCAATTTCTGAAATTGAAGTTATTAGGGGCGATGTGTAAAACTTTGAGAGCAAATTTAATATTCTTATTCAAAATTGTTGAATGTTAAAATCTGTTTAAAATTTCATTTATCTTTTTAGAGGCTTTACATTTTTGTTAAAACCGAATTAGAGAAAAACTTGAGATGGTCTATTGAAAAGATGCTAATCGTATATATTTTTAACCGTTTCCGGAATTTCAGCTTTTAAGCTTGCGCGGCCAACTCAAAGTTTGCACTTTTTGTTCTAACTTTTGCTAGAAATTTGCTAAAAAATCCGCTTTACTGCGATGGTTCTCATCAAATGTTTCCAACTGTTTTTGAGATATTAACTGCTTTAAATCTATACGTTTACACTTTTACTTTCGTCTCCTTATCTAACATCTCCTAGGCACTTTGACTATGGAGTTTCAGCTCGATATCTTGATTACTGATCTTTGAAGCATCTACAGGTCTCAAAAACACACAATAATAAACATTAAAATTTTCACAATAGTTTGCAAGTACTCAGCGGGTTAAAACTTGTTTTATTGCAGGAAAATATACTTCTTTATGCGATGTCTGGAGCTACGGAATATTATGTTGGGAAATTTTCTCAAGAGGTGGCACCCCTTATGTGGGAATGAACAATACGAAAGCTAGAGAGAAAATTGATAGTGGTAAGTTTCACATTTAAGACGATTTTGAAGGAAATTCACTCCGAATATTTTGACTAGGTTACAGAATGCCGGCCCCAGAAAACACTCCAGATGAAATGTATAGGTTAATGCTAAGATGCTGGGAATATAAACCAGAAACAAGACCAAACTTCGAGCAAATTTACACAGTGGTGGAAACCCTTTGTAACGCATATCGCGCCACATTTTGTTAGTGTCAACTGCGAATATATCTTGAATCTGTGATTTAATTTGTCCATTGATTTATTTGCTATGGACGGACTTCTTTATATGAGTCTCTATATAGAATTGACTTACTTTAATCAAAATATACTCTATATTCAACTGCCAGAAGCATATGTTGTATGTTTATTGGCAGATTATTTTATTTATTTTTTAAGTGAGAAGTCCTAACCGTTTTTTTATCGATGAGTAAGTTTTAAGCGGCTTTTTTAAATTTTCATTTTTTTTTATTTTTTTTTATTTTGACAAAAAATAATTTGGATTTTATAAATTTATTAATAGATAATAAAAAACTTATTAATAGATTTTTTGTAAAATGCCCAATGTACTCAAAGAAAAACTCTTTTTGTTACTACATCACAATCAATACTCAAGTTTCCACTGCAACATTATGGTCTTATGAATATCTGATTAACTATTATCATTAGTGAATGTGTACCTAATTAATTTTTACTCAATTTAGAAATATTATATTTCTGAATTATATACTATGAGAAGTCACTTTGAGCGCTCTCTGAGACTCAGAGTATCACCAACCACCATCGTCATTTTCCAAACGTTTACATTTTAAATTTCAAGGATTGAATTATTAGAATATTTTTATTGCGAAATAACTTCGATTTTTACAAAATCCTCGATTCATTGAAAAATTTACACATAAGAAAAGTATAAACTTTTCTTATGTGTAAACATGTGTTTGCGTATGATGTATGTTTGCCCAGTTGTTATTGCTGTGATTTAATAATGAATTATGCCATATATATTTTTGAATATCATTAAAGTTTGTATGATAAACTTAATAGTTGTTTCATTTTCTTTTCAAATCCCTCATGTCTTGACGTTGAGACCAAAAATTGTAATTGTTCTGCATAATGTTTTAATGCTAAACATGTTGAAACAATTCAAATTTGGTGCTTGAAGGAAGATTTGGAGTTACTTTTTTCTTAAAAATGTCAACTGATCCTCACTAACAAAAAAAATTAAAAAATATTCGTGGATTATGCATCTAACAAATAGTTGATTAATTAGGTTAAACAGCTTATCTGTCCCGTTTTTTAAATGATTTATTGAATTTTTTATTAATTATGAAACTGAAACCGTTCGAAAATTTAAAATACCAATTTCCCGACTAAGTTATGGAGGGAAGCATACAAAATTGGGCTTTTAAATCTAAATTATGCTTGTAAACTATGAGCGGATACGTAAATTATGTATTGTTTAAGTTCTATTATTTATTCATTGTCCCTTTTGCGTTTGATATTTTTATAATCAGTTAATCTAAGAGCGTCGTTTTGTTCCACTCTACTCTAAAACCGACGAGCTTATCTATCAGTAAACATTAAAGCAGCCCTATTTATAATCACTTATCATTACAGCAGAGTCATCATAATCAATTTGTAAAATACCATAATAAATGCTTATTACTGCAGTTAATTACTTCCCTTCCCATACTGACTTCTAGTAACTTTTTTCAATTGAATGTAGAACGTTCTGTTAACAATGCGTACTGTTAAAAAAATGTTCGGTAAGCTTTTCCGAGCAAAAGAAATTGAGCTTTTAATTAAAGCGCTTTCTTACAAAAGGTCATTGTTGATTGTACAAGTAGTAACTACCACCCTTCAAGTGGCAGCGTATAGTTACAGCACAATAGGAAAATGTAGAATCTACAGTCAACTGCAGAAGTTTAACAGTGACGTAGTTAAATTAGTAAACTCCTTAAGCGATTTTATCCTGCTCACAAACAATGTTGTTGCGATTTTCAGCATTTCAAATTACAATATTATAGTGGACCTAACGAAATATGCATGGGCTAAAAACATGCTGCAGTCCAAAACAACTCGCCTTTCGGTTCAGTTACTTATATGGGGTTTACGATTGTCGGTATTCATACCAATAGCAATTAACATTTACTTTCTCTGGTTTTGCATTGGGTGGAATATGTACAAGTATTATCTGAATAGAGACATCTCATACTGGTTTCACAATTTAATAACTTACATGTTCCTGACTACAGCTATGATGGTGAAACATATTTTTTCTTGCATCAATGAACAGCTGAGAAAATGCCGAGAAAATTATATTTCTTCCATCAGTTTAACCCAGATATCTACTGTGCATGATGGTAAATATTCTGTAAACCCCCCATCCTACTTTACCAGTTTAAAAATGATCACTGAAGTGCACAATACAGTCTGCGATTTTCTCGAATGCATGAACCAAAACTCCAAACCGTTGCTCACTATGCTGATGTTTTGTATAATTGGAAACATTTTTTACGATTGCACCATACTAATCGAATTTGGGATCAAACCGAAGATTATAGGAAACATTGATATGAAATCTTACATTTATACAATGCATTTTTTCTTTGCTGCCATTTCAGTGGTAAGTTTTAGTAGTTTTTTTACTTAAGTCATTTTTTATTTTTGAAAATAATATTCGTAATTATTTTCTTCTTACTCACGACGGTTTAAATGTTCATAAAACTCATCAGTGATTCGAGCCCTTTGAAAGTCTGCCAGCAGGCGAATTGATAAAAAAAACAGTTAAGCTGAGGTGAGGTAATTGTGAAAATCGTGCAAATGTGTTATATGATTATTTAGCAGTATTTGTCCAATTAAATTTGGATGCACCTGTACAATGCAACATCTATGATATTCGCACTCTCAGAAGTTGATGCTTGATTTCTTTTTTGATATTTTTATGCTCTAAAAAAAATTCGAATTTCCAAACAAAATTATTTTCTTGCCAATTAATAAATTTAGACTTTTCATAATGTTTCACATTAACAAAACTTAATATCGGACTAAACTCTAATATCGGAAGAGTGTTGAGATGGATTTGAATGAAAATTTGAAAATTGAGAACACATTTACAGCGAGTTTCATTACAATCCATCATATTATTCCTCCCGATATTTCAAAAAATAGATACACATTTTTTGAATTTTTTTATTATTAATGCGAAAGGAGCGTGTTAAATTTTTCCGTCCTTCAAGTGAAGATCCGATCAAGTATAAAAACGTGAAAAATTTTCCCGATGCGACAGTTGACTGGTTAAATCTTGAATTTCCAATGCGTTTTTTGGACATAATTTAGAAATTCTAAAGAGTTACTATTTTTTAATGCTAATGAATATTTTCACAAATGCCTTGAATTAAAAATATCTGTCGTTGTTTTTTTAAAAATGTAATTTTTACATCTTAACATTCTTTCAAATTCATGTGATTTTTTATAGTCTTCATAGTCCAGTGAAAGTTTTTAACAACTTATATCTAGGTAAAAAAGCAATGATCACATTAGCCCCATACTTATACCAACTAAATATTTCATTGCGTAAAGTTGAAAATACAGCTCCATATTCTTTTAAAACTTCATTATTAAAACTAAACTTATACAACCTCTTGAAAATGGCCTACAGCAAAACTAATCACATTAACCCCACACTTTTCTCTTAATTTTTATTAAACTATTTCGTTTAATTTTATTCTTATTTCATCAAATCATCGACATACCAGCAATGTTCTTCTTCCCACCAACATGATCAATTTTAGGCACAAGTGGCCGCAGCAGCGTTTGTAGGCGAAAGCTTAGAAGAGGAGGGACAGGCCACTACTAAGCTGTGCTTTTCATATTTGAATAAGTTGCCCAAGGAGTTCAAAACACAAACTGATTTACTCATTGAACAGGAACTTTATTTACTGTTGGATCAGAGTAAAACCAAGAGAGTGTGCTTGCGTGCGGGGGGATTTTTTTGCATCAACTGGGGCATTTTGGGGTCCATTGCCTCGACTGTGGCAACGTATTCTGTGGTTATCATCCAGTTTCTGACAAAATGATTCTATGCAGAAGCGAGATATTTGAGAGACTTATTAGTAAATATGAACGTATAGTTCATTGTATGTTTTCCTCTTAAAGTTTGTACTACATATTCCAGCGCTTCAGAAGCGCGTGTCGCTGGAATTTTGACCATTTCAAAGCATTCGCTAATTTAAAATTTAGATTTAAGTGTTAAATTAGATAGAAAAAATCAAGTATTTTACATTGTAATCTGTTGCTGCAGAAAGCCTAAAATGCAAAAGGCACATTTCTGCTGTCGAAAAATTAATTAATGCAAATCTGAGAATTTCGTGGTAGACATCTTAACTGCTCTACACAATGAACGCTCCACAGCCAAATTTGCCCTAATTTTGGAACGGTATAAATTCTGATTGCTTCTAGCGATTTCAGTTCTGTTTGAAGGGTTATTGAGATCCACTAGTTTTTTGCCAGTCAATGTTTTGGTAAAAGTTATGTAACTCAGATAAATTTTCTTTAGGGCACCAAATAAAAAGATGCAAAATTTTACAAGGTTCGGCATGTTACTGGGTTGGATAAAAAAAACGTTTTTTTTTAGATCTCAACAGTCGTCAACAAGTCAAAGCAAATAGCTCGTTTTTGAATTTTTTGGTCAACTGTTCTATTTATTCGGTGGTTTCAAAAAATTAACTTTTTGGTTTCGCCGCGATGACTTTTCTGTTCTGGGTACAATTTTCACCGTCAAGAGCTGATGTTGGTGCTTTTACACGATTTCAGACGAAAATGCAGGGTTGCACAAAACATTATTTAAATCAAAATTTCACCCAAAATCTGTATTTTTGGAATATTTTCAACTAAGTTAAAATTACTTTTTTGAAATATTTTGGTCATTTATGCAACTCGGTATTGAATTCTTATTTTTCACTAAGCCCACTGTGAAGATTTCGCTTCAACATAAACCCTAGGTTTTTTGCAGTCGCAAAATTTTTATATTGTATTTTTTAACTTGTGACAAAGTATTCCGTCCACCATCCGCATCCCAAACAGCACAACGACATCTTAAAGACGTCTTAGATGTCGAATTCAGATATGTGAGACGTCTTAAAGACGTCTGTATAGATCTTGAAGACGTCTTAAAGACGTCTGTTATTAAAAATAAAGACGTCTTGAAGATATGTCTTAAAGACGTCTGGAACAAATGTCTTAAAACCGTCTTCTTGAAAGACGTTTACACGGGTGTTAGGAATAGTCTATGGGAAATTCCCTATTAGAAATGTAAAATAAAATAACATGTTTTTATTTCATATTTTTATTATTTTGCCTATCAAATACAGGCTATTTTGTTAGCAGACAATTTCGTTGAAGGTTTACCACAACACCACAATAACAAGAGTTTTCTTAGTAACACCCAAGCAAACCAAGTGCATATAGTCTAACGGAAAAGATTTGATTATGTCAAGTTTGGGTAGTTTTTCTAAAATTGGCTCCCCAGTATAATGGCTGTCATCAGTTTTTTGTCGGAAGTCACAATCTGTCCTTATACGTAAGTTACATATGTCAGGAAAATACACCCTGTCAGAGTAATTTCTTTCAACATTACATTTTGAACAGGAAGAATAGTCAGAATGACCTTTAATATATGCTACATATGATTTTGCAGAAGCGTCACAAATAATTGCTTTGATATATACTGCAAAATGTTGATTTTGATACAAGAAACCTACTGCATTATTCAAGGTGGTTTTTGGCCTAAACTGTTAAAAATACTATTGAGGCACTTATTTAGCCCAACATGACAATAGTGTCCGGGCATCACTGATTTTAGTTTAACTGACCTGTTTGAAGCAACGTTCTTGCATCTAAAGGCAACTCTTAACAAATGGGTTGTACTAGTTTTAATAAGTCATTTAAAGCAGGATGGGCTATGTTGTGCTTCATTGCCCATTCTGCCAACTTTGTTTGAAATGAGTTATTACTACTACTACTGGTAAAACTATCATAAG